GATATTTATCTCGGAGTTTATTAATAATAATGAACACAAATAATGAGCTAATTATGAAATACCAGACATTTGTGTCCAAACCCTTCCAGATGTCAATAATTGGTGGCAATGGTTCGTAAGTGTTAAAACTGATGATATTAATTAAGTTAGTCATATAAACTGGCCTTGTACAGTTATAAAACACAGTTTCCTTAATAAAGTTAATTTGATGTCTGTTAGGACAAGATAACTGTCCACTCATAACCATATTATACTCCAATTGGTTTACGTAGTCATCGGGAGGACAGTTAAATACATACAGATGTACACTATATACACATAATATTATAAGATATAAGTATCTTATATCGTATTTACATAAAATTGTATAATCTCATACCTGTAATTAACCAATTTACCTATCTCAATTAGAACTGATGCAGTCAATGAATGATAATATGCTGTACTTTGATAGTTGCTTTCATAAAACTCAACCTGTTTAATTTGAATATTTAATATTCAATACTAAGAATCTCTTGTAAATTTAATTATTATAGTACTTACAGCTTGAGAGTCCGTTTGGATATACAACACATTTTGCTGATTAGATAATAAATGATCAGGCAAAATATAATTAGATGGTTGTAATTGATCGCAGTCTATATAAGACATGTTAATATTATCCACGTATTTATGCCAATAACCAAATGAATGCCTTTCAATGTATTGCGTGAGATCGCCATACATTGTAATTATATCTCTCAACGATAGCATTGTTTGTAAATATTAAATTAAACTTGAAAACTTTATGTTAAACTAGAAATATAAAATGGGTCAGTTAAATAATTTCAATATCTAATAATAAAACACATTTTAGTATAATATATTTTAAATTTATGTTTAAAATTATTATTAACATCACAAATAAATTATTTGTATTTACAAAATTGTAACGAACAATACACTTACATGAATATCTTGGAGTTATTTTTCAACTTAATTTTAATAAAAAGAAATCAATTAATTTACTAGCTTTCAAAATTCTGCATTATTTTAACAATTTTAACAATTTTAACAAATGTCAATAATTATTAAACTAAATTAGTAAATGTGGTTACCATGATAAATTGACTGTATTGAATATTATGTTTTTTTGCGATATCAAAATTAAAATCTAAACATCAAAACAGTATTAAATGAAAACACATAAATGCAATATATATTACACTTACTTATAAGTTTATTAAACTATATTTATATTTACTTAATTTACAAATATACAAACTAAATAAATAGATTAATGGTGATTATATTATGCCTAATTCATTTTTGTATAGATCATTAATACCAAACATAATTTTATCATTTTAGTCTATAATATTTATTTCACTAAAATGCTAATTAGCATACTGTAGTTTATCGTATAAATCAATTAAAATTTATTATTATTTTATGAACGGAGAATTTATAAAAGGTTGATTTGAACTCTGCTTACAATACGACTGAATAGCATTGAAAATTAAAATTTATAAGTATTTCTATTAACATTACTTAAAAAGTTCATGTCATCTTTTCGTATATTCCTAACTCATATTTAATAAATTATATATACAGTATATTTTATATAATAAGTTTTAATAATAATGAGATTATACAATTCAGTACAATATTATAAAATAATATTTAATACAGCATTGAATGTCAAAATAGAAGTTAATTACATCAAGTCAAGCTTATTGTTGGGAAATAGCATTAAGGTATTTTAAATTACTTAAATTATTTTTATTTATAATCTAATTTATAAATAAAACTTCATTAATTAAAATTTAATTATATTAATTTGAATTCTTAAGAAGTTTACAATATAAACAAATTACATAAGCATTTGAAACATAATATTCGTGTACAAACATATAATATAATATAGTAAATAATATAACAAATTAATGTTATAATCAAATTTAAGTCATTTAACTTATTATAATTTATATAATATATTTATTAATAGAATAAATTATACTAGCTAAAGTAAATAATCTAACCATACACTCAAACATGAATGCAATTAAACAAATACTTAACAAATAGATTGTCATAAAAAATAATGATTGCATTTCAGTGATAGTCAAGTGTTGGTAGGGGTCGACCGTTATGGCGTAGAAATCGGTTACAGGTTTGTCCATAAAAATACTGTTGTCGGCAATATTTTTGTAGATTTCCATATAAAATGTATTTCTCGAGAGATACCAGCGCTGCAAAAGTGATGCCTCGTATAGACGTTGTGATCTAATCATATAAATAATTAAAAATATTTTTCATAAAATTATATTAAAACTCACATAACTTGCGATATATTAGTAAATGGAAAGTGAGGTCCGTAACAGAGCGGTGTCATGAGCACCGGTAGGTATGATTGTCCGGTATGTATGGACGCAAATCTGGTGCCAAACATGATAAGTATGTCAACCCATGTCTGGTCCTGAATGATGACAACATTTTGCAGACTTTTACGGAAAATTTGCAAACTTTTGGTTGAATCTGCGAAGTTATTGAACGCCTCCAAAGTGTCCCAACGTTTAAAATGACTACTTGTTATCAAATTTTTAAAACTCATTTTAAATGAATTATTTTGTAAGCTATCGATAAAGCGAGGGTCTGTCCACTCCCTGTGATTATGACCACTCGTGTATACCTCTAACCTATCGTCCATTAAGTCTTCAATAGTATGCGCGTATAGTAACCGACGTGTTATGAGATTAGCTAACAAT